CACGAGCGACATGAAAAGCGAACGGTCGCGGCGAGCGCCGAAACTCGCGCTATTAAAAATAAAAATTTAAGCAAAAAGTCGACTCTACGCGTAAAAGTAAAAGAGGAAGCGGGGAAAAAATCAATGCTTGCGTTTTATGTTCTATGCGTGTGACAGATCGGTTGTCATGACTACCACGACCGGGGGACACGGCCGGCACTTCGAAAGGACCCAAGTACGACTAGGAAATACAAAAATGGCGTCTCCGCTTCCCGCGTAAAGACGCCGCACCGCCGCTGCGTTCCCGCTTGCGGCATTCTCGCTCCCGCCACTTCTGTGTGCGTCGCGCGAAAGAGATAGAAGATGGGGTAAGGGAGCGAGTAATCGATATTACGCACTTTTGTAGCAACGAAATTGGCGCGCCGCGATGCAAGAAAGCTCCGCGCGTGCAATCTCTACAATAAAATCCAACGGCATTCTTCTTACAAGTGAAGGAATTATTTGTACAAATAATATATTAAAAACAGATGCAAGGATGCATGTTTATTATTTTATTAATGATCGAGCAATTTTCTTTAAAAATGCATATGCACGAACAATAAAAAGGATAATAATAGAACTAAAAAAGTGAGTAATTAATGACACGCCAACTGCCAGTTGGCTCTGATGAGAATATTACAAATAATGACTTTGGAGCACAAAATGAGTTTATCCGTTGGTGGGTGGTGAAATACTGATGAGTCACCTTGGTAGGGGGTGCTGGAAGGGCCGCTCGCGAAAATACGAGTTTTTCCCGCACAAGAACATTTCTATTTCGGTGAACTGTTTATCATTCTATCCCTTCCTCGTCATTTTTCCGAAAATATTATCTTTTCTTCTTAGTTACTGTATTTATAGGGTTTCGGGAATTCACTGTTCTCTCATCGATTTATCAAAATAAAGGTAGCTTACTCATTGTAATTTTGAATACAGTGAACAGTTTCCTGTGCGCTATTCAGTAGAATATAATAAGAATATTTGAAACTGTAAAATAATATTGTTTTAAATAAAAAGCAGTTTTTTTTAAATGTTCTTTATTTTGGGTTTCAGGATGAAATCGATTCCACGTCCTTAAAAGACCATAATTTGAAAAATACTTACCTACTCAAGATTTACCCTAAAATGTTGTGGGTAATTTTTTAATTACTGTTTTAGTTGTTTGAAGCACATTTTTCAAGATTGTTAATAATTGTGCTGATTATAATTTTATTTAATCCATTTTAATAATTTCTTATCTCGTTTTACACTTCTTAAGGAGGTATTCATATCCTCAGTTTATTTATACAAGACAGAAAATCACCCCCCCCCCCCCCCCTGATCTAAGTGGAGTCCAGTCGTAAAAACAGCTGACGCAATGTGTGCCTTTCCAGCAATCCTCTTCTCGCCATCCACCCATCCTACCTCGTAGAACCTTACTCACCAACAGAAAACACAACACCATCTCATCGGCTCCAGACGGAGAGGAGACTGCCTCCGTGCGGAGATGCCATCCGCCTGGAATACCTCTAGAGGAACTCGCGAATTCTCGGCTAGAGGTCCCCTTAGGATCTCGCCGCCCCCAAACCCGGTGACGCTGTAAAGGTCATCTGCCACCAACAGCATATACACTCAAATAAAAAAATCATCTCATCAACATATTCTCAGCTAAGCGGCAGGTTCCCCGGGTAGTAGCTCCGGAGAAACCGCAATGGCTATCTCTTAGTGGATACTTAGTACATTGATAAGGACTGAACTCCGTCCTTTTCATATGGAGCAAACGATCAATCGAATGGAGCGATATAATCGCTTTTTTTTATTACCTTCGGCTAAAAGGTGAAAGTGCGTATACATTTAGAGCTTTGAGATTTTTGTGACGTATTCCAATTACAATGTTTTTATTGTTATCTATTTAAATAAGTATATATTTCCTAGACTGCAAAGAGCCGTTTTGTAGAGTGCAGATGAGAAAGAAAAAGTTGTAACGTTTCCTATTTGTTCTAAAAATTAAATCCATTTATAGGAATTCAGTTAAAGGTCGACTTTTCCTATCTTCAATTCTATATAAATGAATCCTATATATAAAAAATGAATCGCCGTTATATATGCACATGCAAAATTTTGGAACTACTGCACCAAATAAGATATTTCTTTTCGTGTTCGATCAGGACAAGGATTGTATAAAAGAAAAAAACTAATGACCGAATTTTTAAAAACTCATATTATGAAAAGTGAGTGAGTGAATGAGACTGAGAGAGATCTTCATATATTGGCAAAACATTGACAGCGAGCATAAATAATTAAACAAGTTTGAGGAATTTCCAAAACATTCACTAAGAAATAGCGGTACGAATGAAATGTATGAAAAAACAGAAAATTAATTAGATCTAAGAATGTTTAGGCTATTTTATGTACAGTCCTGGACTACATATTGAAAAAATATATGTAAATAATTATAAACAAGACAAAATTATGAGATAAGATAGAAAGATATAAAATCTGTTATAGTTTTCATTATATATTTACATATAGTTGAAGTTAAACTTCCCATTTTATTTTATTGCTAAATTATGCGCCCATTCTAGACTGCGCAACAATATGATAGAATACGCCAACTGACAACTTTCCACTGCTTAAAATTAGTTTATGTTAAAGTTGATTGTGTCATTTTATTTGTTTAAGTAATAAATTGTGACAACTCATCACTTTGACAAAAATAATTAAATATTCTAAGTGCGGTTGCAAATGACTCTTAAAGAGACGAAATGTTTTATAATAATATTACATTCTCAAATTCATTAAATACCTCTGTGAAACGTGAGAACGGCGACAGAACATTAAACGTTAAATCACTATTATTAAAAAAAGCTATTGTTGAAATAGGTATGCAAATTAAGTTACAGGTAAGCAGAAATTGTATGAAGCGAGACCCGTCAGCTTCTGCTGAATCAATCTTTCCTGAGTAGGTAATAATTTTGTTTAATCAATTGGGTAATTTATATTATGTAACACAGGCTTATTTAAAAGTACTTTCGATTTTGCAACTTTTAAACCATAAAATGTGAGTTATCTTTATGATATTTAAAAAAATACATACAAGTGTAGCAAATTAAAAAAAACGGGCAAGTACGAGTAGGACTCACCTTCAGAGGGTTCCGTACATATTTGTAGGTACGCAACATAGACTTCGAGTGACCGTAGGGATGAGTAAACGGTTTGCCTCTACACATACCCGAGATAAGGGGCCCTGACAGACAGAGAGACAGACGGACAAGAAAGTGATCCTATAAGGGTTCCGTTTTTTCCTTCTGAGGTACGGAACCCTAAAAAGTAAAATTACTGACTGACTGATTGACTGGGTGGTTGGATTGACAATACACAAGCAAACTTGCTGGGTCTAATAAGCATACAATTTTGCACATAACATGTGAGTTCTAAGACAGGATTTTAGGAAATTTAAAGTGAAAATTGAGGAAAAAAGACTTAGGTAATACATTTTTGTATTAGTTTTGGAAAATGGATGTTTGAATTGAATTTTGTTGAAATTGACTGGACTATTAATTCTGTTTTGGGAATCTATTCGCTGAAGTATCAAAATAATGAATAAGATTTTGTGTGGCAATCGTCATTCTTAAAGTTATGCACAAAAGTTTGTTTTGATAAGATATGTGTTTGAATTTCATTTTATATTAAAATTATTGGTTGCCTTGTATAACTAAATACTAACTAATATTTTTCTAAATTGTGTAGTTTACGCGAGTGAAGCTTTGGGCGAACTGAGTAATGATTTCATCTCATGGATACACTTCCAAATCCTGGTCCTTAGTTCATCATAGATACAGAATTAGATCAAATTCAATTTCGTTCAGATATAGTGACCTTCAAACAAATTTCCATGCACAGCATTATTTTGTAAGTACTTGATAAAAGCGTTAATGTCGACTGTTAAAGTTTTTTGATAATATTTTTTCCGGCGCTTTGTTTGCTGGTTATTTGTTTTACTTATTTTAAGTGATATATACTATACATATATTTTAATTTTCTTTTGAATTATTTTTAGATATGAACTTCATTCGAATCTTTTTTGCATAATTTAGGTAGGTACTTGCTTACAGCTGCAAATCAACCATTTCGTATCGCTGCGGCACCTTTGATTTTTATTTGTTTTTATTATTAGAGTTTTATTCGTGTCTTTTATGTGTGCCGTTCATAGAAATAAACGACTTATCTATCAATCTATTCGTCTTTATTAATTAAAGAAAGATTGCACTAATTACGAAATGGGTCAAATGGTTGAATGTTTACACTCCAGAGTAATGTGTTGACTTCCCCTCGTTTTCGCCAGCAAGGTGTTTCATGAAGGGATCAATTAAAAGAGAGACTGTCAAGTGTTCTGTCCAGGGCATGGGGCACCTCAGATCAGATTCAGATCGAGGGGAGTGCCGTAAGTGTGCCACACAGGCGGCTGGGGGTCCAACCCTCTAGCACCTTATGGCCTGCGACAATCGGAAATGTCAACCTGTTACCAGGAACGGGAACTAGTCGCACCCTCTCGCAAAAAATGCGGAATAATTTCACCACGGTGGCGGTATCACCCCTTTTGAAATCCATAAACGGATTGACACAATCATATTTGTTAACTTTCACATGGTTACATAATTTTAAGTTTCCTTGTAATTTTATGAAAAAAGCGATGGAAATTTACTTTCTATTGTAAAACTAAAGACTCGCATGATGACGGTTGTAAACGCCAAAAACGGATCGATAGAACGCCGACGCGAAAGCTCCGAATAAACAGATCGAAGCTTTGAGCGAACGGCCGAATCGAATCCCGCCAAATGCAGTGACAGCTGTGCGTAGCTCGTAGCGCGTAGCCGTAGAGGCGGCGCCACCGGTATTATTATTATTTGTAAACAAGCATGTGCGGGCGCGGGGCGCGTCACGTGACCGGCCGCCATTGGCCCGCCGCGCGGCAGCTGCGCCCGGCGACGCGCGCGCCAGTCCGCCGCCGACCGCCGCCGCGCACACACGCGCGCGTCATTCCCACGCGCGACGCGACACGCGCACGAACCACACGATCGCGAACTTACACTGCCTTTTTGTTTATTTCTCGCTTGCGTCCTTCGGACCGTTTTGTGTTTCCGAGGCAGCGAGACGAAGAAAAAAAGGAGGCGCGGATGGATCAAGCGAACAGAGAAGGTACCGCGAAACCCAAAGTTTTGTGTGCGCTTACGTGCTGTGCGAGTGTAGTTTCCAAGTGGAGCTTTCGTTATTGTGGATTTGTTTAGTTAGATTTGTATGTAGAGGAAGCAGCAGCGCGTGACGCGGGCCCCAATAAGCGTTCGTGTGCTTCCGTTGGAGCTTCGACTGTGTGCAGCTTTTGCGAATTTATTCGCGTTTTGCGTTTGATAGTGCTGTCCATGATGATAAATAATATTCCTGATAAAATTTTCTACTCGTGAGGTTCGCATAAATTCTGCCAGAGAAAGAGTATTATTATAATGTCTAAGTTACGATTTGTTGCAATGACGCATCGCACTGTCATTGGCGCTGATGTCACGTAAATTAACCCTTAATTGTGATAGCACATTCTCTAAAGGAATGTAGATTATATCAGCCTCTATCATTTCGATTTGCGCATCCTGTGGACCTTCTTGCAGTATTTCCTCTCCCACGATTCCATAAAACTATGCTTCTACGCACTCCCAGTTTTTATACTTTTTCAATTAGTTATTCTACACACAAAATCAAATGAATGTTGCTGCGTTACTTACATCGTCATAGCATAATTAACCTTTCAAACTTCTTCATAAACAAGTTTCAATGAGAAGATGTTGTTACAATGTTTATTCTCGGATGGTTATGGAATGGCAACGTAAGATATCTTTCATGTTCTAAACTTGGACTTGTTTATTATATTCAAGAGATTGAGTTCACCTCATTCAAATACAACATTACTGAGTGTTGTTGGTGTAAAACTATCAGTAGCTACATTGTAAGTGACATAAAGATTTAAAGAAATCATAACTCAAAAGGAGGATCTATAAATAAGTTCATAAATTACTGCTGCTTAGCGAGCCAGGAGACAACAAAAATGAGATGAGACATCAAAACGAAGAGGATAAAAAAGAAATAGTTTCGCCATATTTATTTTTCGTTGAGACGAGGACATTGACTTTGCACATTTCGTGGCTGGGATGTGGATTTTCGAGCTCATTGAATTAAGGATCTTTCAATTTGACTAAAGAACTTTTGAAGATGATGCAAAAATAGCTATCAGTACTGAGATATTGTATTAATCATGTGAAAATCAAGAAGATAAAGAATACAAAAAAAAAAGAGATTTGCTATTGGGTTTTTATCTGGCATATGTTTTACTAATTTAGGAAACAAGTTTACTGCATCAATAAAGTTCTTACATCTAAATCAATCAATATCACTCACAGGAAATGATATATTGAAGTAATTGTATAAGGATTTTTATACAATTTAAGCAATATTAGAAAGCTAATACGCTCTCAGAAGCTAGTTTTAGATTGTCGACAGAAAAGCCATCGTTAAAATCCTCCAGCCAATATCATCAAAATATTTGTCATCAATTTCGAATAATAAAGTAACCGAAGTCGATACCCAAGTTTGTTGAAGACAACCCGCCGGTCCCACGGATTAATCGAATAAATAATACGCCTTCCTCCCGTGAATGTGATAATGGGGAGTCAAGTTCAGTGAGGCCAATGAAAACAAATAAACAAATTGGCCAATTTTGCCCCAGCTAACTGTTGGTACATACGTACGGACCATCGCCACGGATTGTGCAATGCTACATGCTTCCTTTTTAGCCAGACGGACGAGTTATGTTTCCTCCGGCACACAAGTTTTGGAACTTTCTGGTTAACAAATTAATTTACATATCTTATTTTTGAGGTCTTATTGAGTTTAAATGAGTTGTCTGATTTGATACTCGTCAGCTGAAAATAGACAACCATCAAAATTTTGTAAAACATACGTATACATATTTGGCTGAAGTGTTTGTTATATAAAATATTAATCAAGTCCCACAAGTATATTTCAAACATACATCTTATTACGTATATCTGTATTATTAAATAATTACATGTGTCTAGGTGTTACTTACATGGGTAATATCATCTAAGTATGTATACATCTTAACTTTAAAGTCACTCTAATGGATTTTAGATTATAATTACACGTATGTTAGATTCCATTACAGTGACTGATAATAATTCTTATTTATTTTTATTTTTAGATTTATAAATCTAAAATAAATCTAAGTTTGGTAAGAAAATTTTACTAGAAATAATCCACTCGGTCAAGGCACCAGCCTTGACCGAGTGGATTATTTCTAGTAAAATTTTCTTTAAATTAATATTGTCATTTTTTATATTTATCTTCAATTTATAAGTGTAGTCCAAAGGAATTTCTACAGCAACGACACAAACACTATAGTAAAACTAAGCTTACCTCATAGAAAGTTTATTTTAAGAACATCAAATGTTGTCTTTTAGTCTAAAGCTAAAGATCAAACGCGCAATCTGTCTGTAGTCTCCAATATCTCGATTATTGCCACAAGTAATATCTTAAGTTGATTCATACTTTCGGGGGGATAATCCGCATCTTATTGCTCAAGAGCAAACTCGAGACTCGTCGAATTTTCATATACATTGGCTGCGTGTACATGCTCCACTCTCTCCGCCGAAGTTTAAACGTCAATGCACTATAAAGATAAAGTTTTCGTAGAAATGTAATTGCGAGAATATTTTATTAAGTTAGATATAGAGTCGCGCCGGTGAACGCTCCCTATTGAATGCACTCGTCCAGTCCTTATTCGGGATTCGCTTTTAGTTTTCACTATTACTGTTGGTATTACTGATTTTATCGCCGCTATCTTTTCATTCTTATGAGCTTCCGTTGCATAAAAAACAAATTTAATATCGGCATAACTTTGATAAATCAGCTACATACCTAAGTATGATTATAAATTAAAATACAATAAGCTTTGTTTGCAACCAGGTAATATTAGTATTAATCTTATCGGGTAACGATATCTTAATGCTTGATCAGTTTCCAAATAAACAAGGTGATTTTAATTCTGTGATATTACAAACTGGGATTTTGGCATTTACTAATTCTCCCGTAAATAGGGATTGAGATAAATCTTGAGACCAACAAGAGCTTCAAAACGGTTCGATGACAAATAAAAATTGTTTGAACTCAAATTGAAACTTCTATAAACTTTGTAAAGGAAACAATAGTAAATCATACAATCGTAGTCATACACATGTGACTTCCTTCAAACAATTCCATCTCATAGGTGTAAGTATAAAAACTGTTCAATTTCCGATGTCGCATCCGATAGCAAAGACAGACGTGCGTACAAAAAATCTTTACAAAACTGTATCGACCATCGAGTTTAGTGCATTCAAGTTACAATTATTTATAGTTGGATTCCCTTTATATATATGAAGGTAGCGATCAAAATTCTTTGTTGCTCGCGAGGGGAAAGCGCACGGGTAAGTTTGTCGAGATATTAAGGCATCAGAAAAAGTGGTAGTGTGGGAAAGATTATTGTAAAAAACTCCACATCTGCGCCTCTATTCAGCCGGCGAGCGGTTCAATGGGATGGGACGTAACTCTATACTGGGACTCGCGAGCTTATCACTCTAATGTGACTCAATCTTACTAGAGAGCCTGCATTTGCTTTATTGTCTTTCATAAATACCGCGACATCAGAATTTGATCGTGTTATCGTAGTTACAACTTTTGTGATTTATGAACTAATTTCTCCTGTGCTGATGGGAGCAAGGAAAATAAAGAGTAAGTAAGTTGACTCAAAAAGAATGGCAATGGATTGATAAATGAATAAAACATCGTCAGATAGTAGTCGTGCAATATGTGACTTTCTTTAAACTATATGAAATATTTGGACTTCGTCTGATGATGTATCTTTATCCAATACTCTTTGTTTATACCAATATTACTGCTGGGAGTTCTATAAACACATTCAGTATTTGATTTTGTTTATTAATTAGAACTTTTAGTTTTAACGCCTCTTCTACGGATGTTGTAATAAAGATTCCAGATTATTTGCCCTGAACTTTATGTTAAACTAATTATGTTAAAAACTTCTGCTGAAAAACAATCGCCGATTTTATTGATTCTATCTTGTCGAGACGCCTAGACAGCCCCATATAAATTTGGTGAAGATCTCATTAGTGATGCCGGCCTGGAGTCCAGGACACTTAGTCGTTGCTCAGATGAGCTACTGAATAATCTAAAAATTAAAACGCCAACCTTCAATAACAAATCCAATTATAATAATAAAAAACAACTGCGAATTAAAAGGTTCTAGGACCATCTTACATTTGTTCGTGCATTTACATTAAATAGGCCTGATAAAATTACATCGTTTTCGAGCAATCATTTAAAATTACATATATTACCTACTTTTTACTTAGATCTAGAGTACCATTTCAAGTACAAATTATATTTTTCTAAGTCGGCGCCTTGCCAAACTTAAAATATTAAATGATGAGCCGCAGATGGCGACTTTGGTGGACACCGCCTCCAAATATTGTGATTTTCTTTTTTCTATGTACTTCAGTGAACTTTGTAGACAAAGATTTTAATATTAACTTTTTTCAAGTTAAATCAATGTCTAGAACTCTATATAATTATGGTAGTCTTGCGAGAATCCTATCTTTTTATATTCTTGCGAAAGTTCTTAAAGAAATGTGATTTAAGAAAAACATTGAATTGTATATATAGGTGGAAATACCACCTCTTTCTTAAGTCAGTCAAAGATAGTATAAGTTAGTTATTGCCTACTGTCAACTCTTTATATAGGAAGTAAACACATAAGTAACTATTTGGCTTCGCTTAATAAATGCATATTCGTATTACAAGGGCAATCACTGTCAGAATTTAAGTGAAAAACAATATTTTGAATGGACATACTTGAGACAGAAAACATTTGAGTAGGTAATTTATTCGATAACTGATCGCGCATTTCCCTTGTTGTTGACCACTTCTTCCTGAGTCATGATTGCTAGGTCCTTAATTCTTTATTCTTCTTGTTTCTTATCCACGATTTGTTCTACCGATGCTGTTTTGTTAATTTGGGGTTAAATTAAAGCTAATAGTTGTCCGTCTACATTAAACTTATTTAATGGAGAGTTTGAGTCAGAATTTGAAATTTTATTTTTTATTTTAATAGCTATCAAAGTTCATGATCGTCTTTATCGGTGGCCACTATCACACGATCACCACAACTCAGATATGAGTTTCCGGCAGGTATTGTACGCGGCGGATGCTACTCGCATCAGCTGGTCGTGAAAAAACATGATCAAACAGTCATTTGATCCTGTACAGCTTTTACAGAAACTACTGTGTGACAATATGATGATGCCGAATTTGAGTAAAGGTAACCCATGTCCCATAGTGACGCACATTTCATGTTACATTTAAAAACTTTTAAATTATTTAATGTTTGCTAATGATATTACAATTTAGGTTTAATTTATTGGGGCATGGACCTAGGCGAATTGACAATAAGGCATTACTTTGGGAACTGCTTCTGTAGAAGACTAATTGAATATGATAAATGTTTGTTTGCTGAATGTACTTCCCAGCTCAGTCGCACTACTTATCCTGCTTTAAAACGTTATTTTAATTTAGCTGTTCCTTTCCGTATTCCTTATAGGGTATGGATATTGATGGGTAAGAATATTATTGATACCTATTTTTTATGTTACTGCTTTCGTATTCAATACATCCAAAACAAATAATTATATTTCCGTTATCTGCTCAATCACAATACGTTCACAAAATTGATTTCCTCGCGAGTTAACAAAGTGACACACAAATATTGAACTCGTGATTCAAACTCGACTCAAAATCTGAGCCAAGTTTACAACATTCAAGGATTCCTGGACGTCATCTAAACAGAACAGAGTGCGGAGCCGCGCCGCGCTTATGCACAAAAAAGCAACAACATCCGATGCTAAAAATAAGCCGTATAATTACAGCCAAAAGCTGAAAGCGCAATGCTTTCGCTGCATGCAGCGCCAGCGGTTGTACGGTTGCCCTTGACAACGGAGACCCAGATACTATCGCGGTGCACGCACACCCTCACACCTCCCTCTCACATCGGCAGTCAGACGAATCCTTGCAATACACAGAGTACACACGGCCGAAGCATGTTGCGTTCCGTTCCGTTCTCGAGCTTTTTAAATTCTTTTTTTACGAACGCTCTTTGTGCGAACGTACAAAGAGTTTTCGTTCTGATTTCTGGTCGGCCGGTCGCGATCGTTTTGTCGCTGATGTAATGAAATGACTCAAGGCCTCTTCAAAACTGCTTTTGTGAAAAATTCACGAGACGTTTGATAAATGGCACCTATCTATAAACAGTAAAAATATTCTGTTTTAATCGCCGATGTCTTTACCTACTGAAAGCAATATGTTATCTGAAAACATTATCATCTATAAACAGTAGGTACTTCATAAACCTGTACTTGTGTCAAAAGACGAAGAGAAAATATTGAATCCTTTGATTTTACGAGTTAGGTTACGTAGACAACCGAGCCGTAGTGAATAGAGTGTAGATGGAAACTTTTTTATTTTCTCCCTCAGGAAAATCCGCGAAGGCACTCGAGGGGAAGCGAAAAGTCGAAACGAGCGTGTTGCAATTTAGTCCCGCTTTATAGACCAAACAAAAGAGTCCTTTGATGTTCAGCCTTTGGCGAGTTGCAGATATCAATCAACTTTATTTTGGTTTAGCTGTGCCAATTAGAAATATCTTGGAATGATGTAGTTATACTTAATTCAAAATTTGAATATTAAATTAGCTCAGTTCTAAATAGATTTTTATCTACGTATTTTGTCTATTTTCTCAATCTCTCAGTCTTAATTCTCAGTGGGTACACATCAAATCCAGCCACAAAAATTGACGATTTTTATTTCTTTATTTAATTTTTTAAAAACATCAAGAAAGTTTATAGAATTGTTCTGCTTCAACTAGTTCATTTAATGTTCAAATATTAAAAAAAGCTTGTGATATTTTGTATACACTATTCAGAAGCCTAGTTGAAGCACGACTTCAACAGAGTTCTATTCAAAACGTTTGACGTCACAGGTTCTGTGCACGAAGTGTGTCGATAGATACTCAATACGTCAATAAAATATTTTCTTTCTTTTTAATTTAGAACGGAACGTGACTAACTCCGTCACACTGACGAGGTAGTAATAAAAGAAATGAACCTAGGTATTTCATATTTAGAAGGTGCACGTGTTTTACTGGCCGTTAAATAAAATAAGAGCATTTTCTTTTCAATAAAAGGTTAGGTATCTATTTTAAAAATTATTGTGACGACATAATATTTCCAATCATTTGGAAATAAACGCTCAAATGGTTTAACAATTTTCTTACCAATCATAAAAATAGCTGATCGTGGAGGTATTTAATAGCTCACGAATTCCTTGCCAACGGCCTCCTAAATAAACAAACATAGAAGAAACATGATATTCCAGGAATCGGGGATTTACCGAGAATCCCTTTTTATTTAAATATGCTGAACTTGTTCAACATAATAATTGGTTTCACTTCAAATATCGCATACTATTCTATTTATTAGTTATTCTACATTGACCTTTTTAAATAGGTACGTATATATTTATTTTAGTAAATGCTTTTAGCATACGCACTCCCCAGCTCCATTCTCTATGCATATGACAAATAGTTGTATAATCAAGATTAAACGAATACGGCACAGTTTCGAAATGAGGCGTCTCAAAAATAGTTCCCTTAAAATAGTGTATCCGAAATAGAGCGTACTATTAGCGTACCCTTCTATTAATAGTCGCCTCTATGAGAGCGACGCTTAATATGAAACGGCACGGAACTATGGAAAGGTCTTGGCCGATTAACTTCCGTAACATATTCATACCATTATGTACGAGTACTTATTACAAAAGGGCAATTTCTTCTGTTTTAATAATAGAAAAAGTAAAAATTTCTATTCAAAAGATTTTAAGCGAGTTCAAAACGGAAGATGTTTTCAATTCGGTCGGTATGTTTGTTCACCGATTACGCTGAGATTTCAGTTCCGATTAACATGATTCTTTATTTTTGTCCAATGCGGAATAGTTGCAAAATTGTCCCATAAAAAATATTTAGTTTGATCGATTAGTTTTTATGTTATGAGTATTTTTGCTTACTTATAAGTTGTAATTTTCACACAACTTTATGAAGGTCTTTTCTAAGAGCTTTTATTTGAAATACGTGTTTTTACTTTCTTTTTTTATATTTACCAAGAAGTTTAATTTTTTCACAACTTCAAGCAACCTTAATTCTGAGTATATGGTTTAAATTTCAACACGAAACCTCCATGCATTCCCGAGATAAAGGGTCTTGACAAGCAGAAATACAACAAAGTGATCCTATAAGGATCCCGATTTTATCTCTTGAAGGAAGGAACAGTTAAAAGAAAAAACACGATTTTATAAAAAGTAGAGATAGAGACGGACTACTTTCTTCTACAGTGGCTAAAAACAATTCCATTATTAAAAAAAATAATCTTTCCACAAATAAAAATAAATTAAAGAGAAATATTATGACATTCCCGCCATCGATTCGATTTTCAAACCAGTAAGGAGCGCATGCGCCACGGCACGCAGTAAACATGTCCACGGGTGCCATAACTTCGCAATTCCCACCTTCTTCGTTCGTGCTTCGTGCTCCACGTCTTTCGCATAATGTACAATGTTTAATTTCACCAATCAGTACTTACTACGTTTTGTGTTTATTTAATTTGGTAGCCTTATTTAATGCCACTCTGTTAATTTTATATTATTTCCGGGAAGTTATTAAAAAATAATAGCCTTAAAGGAAGCGCACATTGAGCCACTAGTGGCGAGAACTAAACGCGTCCACAAACTGCAGTCGAGATTTTTCATACATTTTCTTTTTTTTATATAACTAGGTAGGCAAATGACTCTACCCCACCTGATGTTAAGTGGTGATAAAGTCCAAATGCGAAGATAGCTGGTACAGCAGTTATAAACTGCTACACCAACCATCCTCACCTTGCCGGCCCGCAAAAATGCTTCTTCACGCCTCTCTTGATTATAGGAAGGAGGGAACACGTTGCGCGGGTAAAGAATTCCACTTACGAATAGTACGACAAAGAAATCAATTTTGTATAATATCGGCGCAAACTAAACATTCCAGTGGCTGCCACTAAGCCACAATCGGCGGCGATCGGTTTCTGCGTCTAGTGGCTTGACTGAGCCACTAGAGCCCTGCCAGAATACCAGCGCTGTTATGGTGGGAATCTTTACTTCCACGGTAACAGCTTTAAACTGAGGCAGGGTTCCGATTGGCCAGTCTTTTATCTCCTTTGTGGTTCTCTGTTTTGTTTTTAATTTTATTGTTTTGTTTACATATAAATTTGCGTGTATGGCCAATAAATGATTTTTCTTTCTTGCTAGTGGCAGTGTTTAGTGGCTGAATGTGCGCTTGCTCTTAGGCGTTCATTGAAAGGTTTTGCTGTCAGTTTGCTGGCACTTAAGGTTTCAGTCATCATCAGTTTTTTCATCATTTATGGCTGATAAAATTCATTAACAGCTACATCAGGGTTTAAGGGATGCCTTAGAAACCATAATCGATCATGATTTCCACGATATAAAAATATATATTTAATAGGACGAGATGCATTCCATGTGTATAAAATCATCAATTAAAATGGTTAATGTAATGGAGGTTGTCATGCCATCGCCTATTTTACTGTAGTACCATTTTTTATAGTTATAACCAAAACTTTATTCTAAAATCTAAGAATAATCTATCTAGAAATGTTTTAGTAGAAAAAAATCACTTGGTCCATGTTTTAAATAGGATTAGAACCTGCGCCTACCGCAATTCAAATTCTGCCTGAATCTTGGATTGCGTGAATTTGTATCTAGTAAACAAATTTATCAATTCATTTATGCAGCACATATCTTACAATAAGAAAAATATGTGCAATCTAATAGTGATAATTTTGTCCACAGATTGGTGCAGGCCGCCCGGATAGCCTCGGCCCACAGCTGCAACCACCAGCCACAAGCCACCAGCCACCAACCAAACCCACCACAACGTCAAACCAAAGCCTCCAGTCATATCTTTCGTTTCGAAAATCTAAATATTATATAATCACTATTTTTTAACCTTTTAAAACGATAAAAATAAATCGTTAATAGTATACGCTATTCCCAAACAGTACAAAATAATTTAAGTCTGAAGTGATCGGTATTTACAATAAAACAAAAAAAAATAACACAAATAAGAAGCCTTCGAACAAGCGAAAGAAAATCAACGACCAGTATTTAAAACGTTCCAAAATAATAAAAATCGTTAAACGAGTGCACAACATAATTTATCGTACGTTAACTTTGTTAACAAAACCATTCCTTGAGCATTTTCTAAAAAAAGAATAACAAAAGTCAGCCAAAGATTTTTATAAAACTTTAGTTTAGTCTAACTTTGTATTAAGACTAGTAATCTAACTTGCCGCTAAAGACTGTATACAATCAACTTACTGTTAGTGGGCAAACGAAATAATTGTGATTAGTGTAGTGTTAAACCAGTGTGCCGTATAACCATAAATTAAGTGCTACTTAGAATAGGGAACCTTAACAAATTCAAGTGTAGAGTACAAAAATCGAGTTCCAGTGCAGTTCTAGTGTTCAGTACAAGAGAGACTTAGTCAAGTAAGGTTATTTTTGTATACGGCAAAAGTGCGGAGCGCGATGCGAGCGCGCGAGCGGAGGCCATGAGCGAAGCGCTGCGCAGCGAGGCGGGCGCGGACTCTGCGCACCTCCCGCCCTTCTCCACGTTCGGAGACATGGCGGAGAACGAGCAGCGGCTGCTGGCCGACGCGCGCCTGCTCGACCCCGGCTGGGAGTACTACGAGCGCGGCGACGCCGTCTCCGTCATCGCCAGCCAGCCGCAGTACCGCCCCTGGGAGTCCATGCCCATCACCGTCAACTCCAAGGATGCGATCCTCCGGGCCGGCTTCTCCACGCCGCTCGACTACCAATCGGTCACCCTGCAGCCCATACCGAACAAGCTGCCGTCCTTCCAGAGCCAGTTTCAAACTTTTCCAGAGACGACTGTCATTCCGGAAACTGGCTTGCCCAGCGTCACCCCGGTGCCGGTCACCACCAGCCCTACGCCGAGCGCGAGCCCTAGTCAGTTAACGCAGCTCACGCAACTGACGACGCCGTCGTCGCCGGCCCATCTCACCACGCTGGCGCAGGTCGCGCCGTTGTCGACGACACTCACCACTTTATCTCCTGTAAACGCCACCACATTCCATACACTAACAGCGGTAAACGCAAGGAGCTACCCGATCGTACCGGCGCCACTGCAAGCGAGGGAGCTAACTCCGGCTGGACAGACCTACATCGATGACCGGCATATACAGCTCTATCAACCGAACATCGCGACAATAAATGCCTTCCCAACACAAAATGGGCTAATACACCAAAATGGCACTATCCTCCATCAGAACGGAAGCTTAATACAGAACATACAAAGCCCGACTGTAGTTCACGTGCTTAAAAACGAACCGTTCGACGTGAAATCTCTTCAGGACAAATATACTCCGAACGGGTTACATCACAGTAACTTCCAGAACCCTATGTTGATTGACAACGGGTATGAAAAGAAGACAAACGGTTTCGGGAGCGGGTCTTCGCCAACGAGGTCTGATTTTCGGAAGAAGGAGCGTCGGAAAATGCGGGCGAACAGCTCGGAGTCGGACGGTTCGAACATGGAGGTCGGGTCGGAGAGTAGCGGTCAGGTGGCAGCCGTGTCCTCAACGGCCGGCTTCAAGTCGCCGATGCACGGGGCACCGCCTATGGCTACCGGTCCCATGGAACTCGACGACATATCCAGCGAAAAACAGGTGAGCAAATTATCAAATTCTATCGATTCTTATGTTTTTAGATTTTATTTCTGCTTTCAACAAACTGAAAGAAAAATAACTCCTTTAGGTTTTGAGTTAACAAAAGACAAATTAGTTGCGTTAAATCAAATCAGGACTTAATTTTGCTCAGGATTAAATTGAGTAGTTGGGACATTGTCCTAACTTCTTATTTATTCGTCTCAACTTTGCTCGGAATACCTAACCAGATGTCCCCTTTATTTAGTATTTCTTAAGGCCATTGTATTAGTATAGAGATTTCACCTAAGCAACGATCAGTAAATTAAGTGAGTTGACGAAGAAGTATTTTATATGCAGGAGAATCTTACGATACAACAGAATTCTGTTCAACCAACTCCGATTTCCAAGCGTTGAGGAATTGCGTAAACAAGCCTCACGGGATGGCGATCTAGCGGGAATATTTGCCGGCAGAATATGAGAATTCACAGAATTTCATCCGAATACGCGAGCGTAGAAAGTGACTGATCCCGAAAAAGAGAAAGTTTCGCCGTAATTTCACCTTTTATTATTCGGGGAGCAGTTTTTATTCTCGGTTCGGAGTTCCCAAATGGCCGAACTCTCTGTCTTCGCGGCTATAAATTTAATAGTTAGCCGATTCTCTTGCTCAACCAATAAATTAACTTCCACTCTCGTTTAAAACACAAATTAAAGTCGGGCGATTTACGCGTGTCCTGCTTAGAAAATTTTATGACTTTCATTCAAATTTTACAGCGAATGCAATTAGGCGGCAGTTTTGGCAGCTTTCGGTATTAAAGGAAGTTCGCTGATTTAATTACGGTTAATGTAAGATTTCTGGGCCTCTATCTCTATCGGACACTCAAAGATGGAGCGGACTTGATTACGTTGGAAATAATTTTTTGGGTAATAATGTTGTTAGGGAACTTCTAATTTTCGAGTTGTAATCAAAGAGAAAGAGTAGCTCAATTATTTAATGAAAATTTATTTAATTGTTTTTATATTTGTATATCATCCTGGGATAACTTGAAATTATTTCTCATTGGAAACTTGCTGAAAATAATATTTTTTTAAATCCTTTTTATTTGATTATAATCTGTAGTAAAGCTTTATAACGACTTTTGATTTCATCCATATTTATCTTTAAAGTTTTCTAATACTTTATAGAAGGTTATTACCGAAAAAATATAAAAGTAAATTGCGAAAAATTAGAAAATTTAAGAAGAACTCACCTCATAGTGGCGCTGTGGTTGAGTTTTAGGATTATTTTTATCAATTTACTAGTTAAAAATAATTTTACAAGTAAAAATACTTACTGCATTCCTATAGGTTCTTATCGCACAAGAGTATAATGTAGAGCGATTTTGAAAAAAATACCACCTTATTCCAAAACGCAGACTATAGTTAGTCTTAGTTTAAACCGTATGTTGTCTCTGTCTTCTTCTTCGCAAACAAAAGGGACATCATCCCTTTTTGTCTAGGTTAAACTTTAGTCTACGTTTTGTGATAAAGGATAAAGCTTCGCAATGAACCCTAAAGTACCTATATAATTTTAAAATCCCACTCATGACTGCATTGTCAATAAATTTTCTATTCATTTAGATATTTTTAAGATAAGTTTTGGCCGCAAACAATATAGTTAAGTGACAATGTCTTAAGCTTCTTCAACAACTCTATTTAAAAAAGTAAAATAAAAACCTGATCTAAGACTAGAAAAGGTCCAGGGATCGGTGACATTCCGGTATAAATGTCAGTATTTCCCGGTCTAATAATGAAACACCTTTGCAGGCAGGTGGCCAGCATTATCTATTTACAGCAATTATCATTGCCACAGCTTTCAATTTGCCAATTGTTAGGTGTTGTCCTAATTTTTTCATTATCCTCATATGGGTGTAATATCAAAATTTTGCACAAGAATTGTAACAGCATTCTTTAGTTATCTACACTAACAATTAAACTTGATTGTGCTGCAAAAATATATATAAATAAATAATAATCTCAAATTTTGCCGTCTAAATTCCATTAGCTTCATTATTAGTGCTTACAGTTCGGTTTATGAATGCTGTTGTTAACAATATTATTATACTTTAAAAAATATACTTATACATTGTTTTAATGTACCTCTGAATGATGAAGGACGTAACCAGCTCATATTAAATTCAATATAAAACGAATATATTATAGTTTTTATTTTGAGAGTGTATGCTGTTGGTCGCAGATGACCTTTTCAGCGTCTCCGGGTTTGGGGACGGCGAGATCCTAAGGGGACCTCAAGCCGAGAATTGGCGAGTGCCTCTAGAGGTATTCTAGGCGGATGGCATCTTCTCACAGAGGGAGTCTCAATATTATTGTAATAATCCTTCCAATATTATAAATGTGAAAGTGTTTATGTTTATAACTCAATCACGCAAAAACGGCTCAATGGATTAGGATGAAATTTGGCACACATATAGTTTATTACTTGGATTGAGACAGGTTACTTTTCATCCCAAAAAATTTGAGTTCCTTAGAGTTTCTTTAAGACCTAAAGTTGACGCGGACAAAGTCGCGTGCGGCTCCTAGTATATGTATGATAACATAAAATTATTACCGGTCTTGATCCTGACTAACAACGGCATTCAAGTCACATTTCTCAAACAAAGGTGTTTGAACCATCGCAGTGCGACAATTAAACCGGATTTTTTTATATCTTCATAACGAGTGCAACTTGGGATGCATAAATACTTTGTAATTACTATGGCTAACTAGCCACTTCACGAAGATGACACGTGCCGTTCGCTTTAATAAACTGTCTATTAATTCTTGACCTCAGGACTTATGTTTGAATACACGCCATAAGAAAAATTATATAGGATTTCTATAAAACGTACCAAATGTTCAATTCAAGTAATCATACTAATATTATAAAGGCGAAAGTTTGTGAATGTGTGAGTGTGTATGTTTGTTACTTCTTCACGTCTAAATGGCTGGAGCGATTTTTGTAAAATTTGGTATTGAGTTAGCTAGTTATAACGTTAGTTAGTTAGTTGATACCCTAGATTAACACATAGGCTACGTTTAACTGCGGGAATCGTCTATCAAGTAGATTAAAAAGTATTGGACACGTATTTTTTCTTTAAACACATAATCAAAACATTACAGAGATATATTAATTTTAAAAGTCACATGGCGTCACGTCTTGGTACATTTTTTTCTTAGAAGAGACTTCACTTGCGCTTTCTCTTTATAATTTTTGGTTGATTGCCAAAGGAAAAATATGGGTACATTATTTTTTGAAAAGCTGACTGTCAGACTAAATAGAATTTCGTTTACCCTGTCATCATCCCTTCGATGTATATAAATAACTGATACTAAAAGATTGAATACTATAGTGAATTCACCTTCTGTGAATCTTCAGTCTTAGAAAATTTTACAGATTCGTTTTTTAGACAACATTACAACTTCCTTTCTCTGTAATCTAACAGACTTAAAATTTTCGCGGTCACGGAAAGACTAAGTTGTTGAAATATTAAAGTGTTACTTGGCAATGCTCGAATTGGTTTTATAAAGTATAAATAAGACAGCATAATGGCAAGAGAAACTTCCAAAATTCCTGTTGGCAACTTCATTAAGTGCTAGCCAACGACTTTATACATTCATACATTGAGTACCCTTTTATTTATCAATGTAAATGGTATTCAGTAAAGTTATATTTAACGACTTTTGCAGAGGAATCACCCCGTTTTTTTCTCATATTTATAATAATGTATTTTATCGTAAAAATAACAGTAGTTTTCCAGAATAATAAATTACAAGCTAAAGTTCAAAGAAGAAAGAAATCTAGTTAAATTTGTTTTTTTTTCTAGAGTGAAATGGACCCTGTCTCAATCCAGGTCAATTTCATCCAATTCCGTAAAGTAATTTTTGCTTAATTTAGTTACAAACATACCAAATTTGATATTAATCATATAAGTAGGATATAAAATAAGAATAAAAAAATATAATAATACTTAGTGGACTAATTAAAACAATGGTTAGTAAGAATTGAAGTGATCCCGTCACAAAAGAACTGGCTCAGTTTCGATTGATTCCCGCATATGACCACTAACCTTTACATAGCTGCAGCTGTCGAATGACTGGCGATTGTTATCTACTGATGGATCAGCGCGAAGTAGACACAATTATAAATTATAGAAAAATCTCAACTACAAAAATTAACTTTAGTCCCTGTGATATAACGTCTGATTTTGAAAATCAGCATAAATCAATTGAAAGCTGCTAGTGAACTCAAATTTGTTATTCTACACTATTTTGCCCATTGAATTGAGCTGCTTTATTTCAATAGCTTATCTATATTTAACCCAATAAAAACCAACGTTTCTTCTTTGTAGTTTAAAACTAGCCATTACCCGCATCTTCGTCGGCATTAGTTTAAGTTTTTAAGAATCCAATCAGTCCCTGTAGCATGTGCACCATAATTTACATTATATCACGTTTTTTATCGCGTCTTACTGTCAAACTCCATAGTAATTTGCCAATTAAGCGTGATAAAATCGCGATATATATCATATCGCGGTGCTCATGCAAGGGGGACAGAACCCATAATTTTGCCGGGATAAAAATAATCCTACGACTCTTTCCAGGTTATAAGTTGCCTGTGTGTAAAATTACATACAAATCCGTTTTTGCGTGATTGAGTAAGAACACATACAAACTTTCACATCTATAATATAAGGAGGATACCAAGAACCAACATTTCAAAAAAATTCAGATAACAGTTACTTTGGTCAAAGGAAGGTTTAAAAGTTAGCTTATAATATTTCTTCACATAATTTTGAATGTTTGTAATACGAGTAGAACAACAGATATTAACAAAGCACACTTTAGGCAAATGGAAATGGTTGTAGATATAAGGTAGTTCAAGGGCTATTTTTTAATCAGCATTGTTTATTAAAACGATTCATAATAAAATATAAAGGCATAACTATTAAAAAAATCTTTTTTATTGGAATACAAAGCGTGTATTTACTTCACCATGAATGTTTAAGTTTGAGATATTTTCATATAAAAAATTAAGAACTTATTTAGTAATAACGTACCTAGAAACTCAGTTTGGCTTATCAACCTCGTATCTTGTTAGTTCATTGTGTGACTCAGAGGCGGGAAAACCAATGAACCTATAAGTAAGTACCAACTTTACAACCTTTCCTAGAATAGCAAATTATTTGAGACAAATAAACACAGTATATTTAATTTATGAGAGAAATTTCTTAGTATTTTCATTTCTCTGTTGTTAAATACAAATACATATCTTCATATTTTTTCGTTTTTCTTTGTTAAGATATTGCAACGATTTAAAAATGTAATTGTAGACAGTATAAATAAATAAAACTAGTTTTTACGGGTTAATGCACGATTAACGATTTTATTTATTTAATAAAATCATTATTCTGACGATGCAGACCTGAAAAGGCTGCGAAACGTCAATAAATAAATAAAGTTTCGTGCATTAACCCGTAAAAACTAGTTTTATTTAATGAGTGATGTGCGTGAAAACCTAAGAAACAAACAGTATAAATAATTTGAAAATAACTTACTCTAATATATATACGAGTTAAAATTGATATCACCCTGTCACCAAACACAACAGTACATATTTCATTTAGAATTATTACACTATTTGTGTTTTTTTAATTTCAATGGTAATTTAATATATTTTGCGAATAAATCGCGCATTCCTTTAATTCACATAATCTCTAACGAAATCATAAAAAATATCGAGCACATTTTATTTCAAAGAAAATGGTTATGATCCTACCTACTTATTTGCATATTAAGAAAAACATTTTTAAATAATCATGCAACAACACAATGTGGCATGTATTTTGACAGGGCTTGGCTTACAGAAGATCATGTAAGCCACAGAAGTTGATACAAAATACATTTACTTTTTCGTTGAAAATTAAACTTTGTTTGAAAATTTATGAACTTACTTACATAGAATATAAGAAACAAAATTTTAACCATAATTTCACCCCATTCAACTTTAATTGTAGCTCAGAATATCTCCCGACTGTAATTCATTGAAATCGGTTTACAGGTTTAGTTTCAAAACTGTACTAAACACACAGAGGTATTTTCACATCTATAATGTTTTGAGTATTGTATATATTTTACAGGACGTATTTATTTCAATCTTACTTGGTAGCTAATTGAGGTTTAGTCTTGTGACTACGCAACCTGAAAATCACCCAAAACGTAATGAGGTCCCGTCCTCGCAGACTTCACAATTTTCCGGAACAGAAGATTCTGATTCATTGGTAGGATCCTTATCATTGAAATAATAACTGTTCGTTGTGTACGAACAGTTATTATTTCAGTGTTTCAAAAACTGATATTAGAAATGACTTCTAAAAAGGAAGGTAACCTAAAACTTTATCTATCACTAGCGGCCCGCCCTCGCTTCGTTTCGGTGTGGAGCTGAAGTGTAGACTACAGTTTTTGTTCTCAAGCTTGTATTATACACAATAACATTCGTATATGATTCTTCTTATACCTGCATGCAAAGTCTCAGCCCGATCGGTTTAAAATTGACGAAGTTTCATACAAACTTTCATTCCCTATTTTATCCCCTTGGGGGTAGAATTGATCAAAATCCTTTCTTAGCGGATGCCTACGTCATAACATCTACCTGCATGCCAAATTTCAGCCCGATCCGTCCAGTGGTTTGGGCTGTGCGTTGATAGATCACTATGTCAGTCAGTCACCTTTGAGTTTTATATATTCGTATATAGATGTTAGTTGCGAAACTTAGATTTGGTCGTTGTCAAGCCAATATCTGCTATGTGCAAAAAAAAATTAACATGGCAGTTGGCAGTTTTAATATTTGACATTATTTTGGCTGGTGCTCAAAGCATATTTTAAAGCAACCTTTATTCACCGTTATAATGCTAAAGATTCGCACAGCAGTGTTTGTATTTCAAATTCAGTTTGTATTATGTATGCTAGTCATAAGAAATATCCAAAGTGTACATAGCAAATATTGATTTGACTACAACGTCTCTTAAATATTAACCTCAATCCAGGGTTGAATTAGCACCCTTTCCTATTCGGACGAATGCACAAAAATATAATAGTTAGTGCGTTCGCCCAAATAGGAAAGGACGGCGACACCTTAACGGATATATTCCCTCCTGTGTCGTGCTCCTCATTACTGAGGGTTCTGCGTTCACAAAATAATTCGTTTAGGTCACGACCTAAATGAATTATTTTGTGCACGATCGCTTTCCACTTGTTGCGGTCTTCGACAGTGTGGAGTGCATCGCGGACTCCAGTTTTGGTACTCGTATTGTCGCGGATCTGGTCTGTCCAGTGCATGGGGCTTCTTCCTCTCAGTCGCCTTCCCTGTACTTTTCCTGTCACCATGAGCACTTCTAGGGTATAATAAAACGGATATATTGAAGAGCTTCAAAGTAACAAAATCTACATCAATCTCCTCACGTTCTTTCTTTGTTAGTGTCATATCGTTGACTGTTAAAAAAAATATTAAAATAACATAAAGTGTATATCTCACAAAGCAGCTGTATCAAAATTCAAATTAGTCTAAAAGTTAATTACTGGTTAATCAGGTACGACTTATTGGAAATATCGTATTTATGTAGTTAATCGTTATTTATCTGAAATTAAAATATTTGCACGCAGTTGACCATATCATTAGCGCACTTATTTATACCTTCGTTTAATAGTTGAGACTGGCGCAATGTCGAATGCTCCACTGCCAGCTAAAGATCATTTGAAAAACTGACCATCTGCTTCGTACGAATGTATTTTTTGCCGATTAGAGTATTACAATAAACATGTATTTTTTATTTAAATGACGTTCAATTTCTGTAAGTCGTTTATTCTAAACGTGCCTTTTTAAGTCACATAGTCAGGCGGTATTTTTATAATGAAGACTTATGTTACACTTTACAATAATAATTTGTTAATTATTATGAAATGTGTGTTTCTTACTAAAAATAACAGTTCTCGTTTAAGCATTAACATTACAGGAATTAAAAAATAACATAGTGAATAAAAATATTTATATTAAAAGAGAAATTAGTGTAACTTGGTATTCTTAGATAAATTAGTTTAACTATTTTTTTTAAATGGCTGGTTATATATTGGAACTATCACTGATTTTTTTTAAAATAAAATATAGTTCTTCGTTCTGAAAGAACTCGAGAACCGATCCGATCTTCCGACGCCGAACGATGATAACCGACTAGCAACGAATGAAATTACGTATTTCAAAATGGCGAGCTTTTGAAGCTACAATACCAGCTGTTACAACTTAGTTGTACCCCTGGCCGAAACTAAATTTGGATTTTATTATGAAGAATTTAGTTAACTTGAACTTTTTTTTATCAGCTAAGATTTTCCTAACAACGATCTCATGGTCTGATCGAACTAACTAAATGGTCTCTAAGCTGCTACCAAAAAAATACTGGTAAAATTGAGAAAAAAACCATATTCCGCTTATTTGTTTCAAAGATAAAAATTCTTTCTTTTTGCAAATGATATGAAATGAAAAATTAAATAATTTAATTCTATTTTGTCACCATTAAATCATAAAAAAGGAAGTCGACAGTAGTCGGAGATATTGTGGAATGTCGAGAGATCTCTTTCATTTCAATATGTTGAATGACGAACTACCGGTAGTGCAGACCATGTCTGAATTAATATTGCTTGTATTTTTTATACTAATGGGTCAGATTCTGATGCTTTGTCCTAAATGAGGCCAGTCCGTCGTTTCGATTGAGTGCCGGCGCGGGACCGAGACGACCCATTAAAATGAACGCAAAATGCACCGAAATTGTTGTCTGGCAAATAATTGCGAACATTTCGGTTTTGCTGACCGTACTCTTTCAAACGATTCCAAACTCTGCCACTCAAACAATAAGATTCATTGTGTATTTCCGCGCTACCAAACGGATATTAGGACACGCGATGTGCAGATCTCTGATATGCCAATTGAAACAATTACCTGTTTTATATGTATGTTCTGTTAAACTGCATTATAACTAATTATATTGAAGTCTAATTTTTTATACTGAAATTGCGGTAAACCGGCAAAGTTGAGACGATAACAAAATAAATTAACTTTCTATACAAACTGACTTTATTAATTGTGGTGGCTGAAAAGAAATATTGAGCTTTGTATGTGGTGACCACAGACAAAGAAGAAGCGGAAACGTTGCGGCGAATGCATAGGCTGCCAGCGCAAGGACAACTGCGGTGACTGCGCACCGTGCCGCAACGACAAGTCGCACCAGATCTGCAAGCAACGCCGGTGTGAGAAACTCACCGAGAAGAAGGTAAGTTCCCGCCTTTTACCTATATTAAAAAACCCGAGTGTGCTTATGACCACATGACTGAAGTGAAACTTCTTTAGCTATATATATATGTGTACAATATATTATACATGTATGTTATTTGTTTCTTAGGTTTTCACGCACATAACTCATTAAATAAAACTAGTTTTATTAAATAAGACTCCCGTTCGCCTCACGCGAACACACTTTCCGTAACGCATAAAGCATTCGCCAGCTTACCCCCCAAGTCAAGCGTGCGTAAAGAAGTTTTATTTTCATTCGTAAGAAGGTTTGAAGTGATAACGTCGTATAGGATTGTAAACCGTTTCATTACGTAACGCGTTACGGCGCCAGTCTATCTGGCTTCCTTTCCCCTCACGCTAACCCGCAGCGCTAGCCGTATATTTAAGTTATCACTTCTGACGTCCCGAGACGCACATGCTTTTTTTTTCAATTATAGTTATGCTCACAAAATACTACCAATGATTATGAGAAAGAATAACTACTTCTATCTGGGATAGTAGTTCTCATCAAAGTTCATTTTAAAAAAATCCTTTTCAATACGGTTCAGACTTCAAAAACGTTATGCTGCTCTACAAAAAAAAAGTTGCCACGTGTTGAAAAAATGTTTAACCTTTATCGATATAAACATACACCTTCAATTTTCATACGGATCATGTTTAACACATAAGACGGTATAATTTGCGAAAAAAAATATCTCGAATCGATTTGTGAATGACGCAAATAACCATTTGCCTTTATGTACATGTTATTTGCATTAATTTATTCGATCGCATACATTACACGCCATTTTGTTGCTTGGACGCTTTTGAGAAAATCTACGTGTTCTTTTCATTGTACTAACGTAGGAAGTAAAAAAAATATCCCTTTTTCTTTTTTCTTCCCAAGTTCCTTTTTTGTATTTCACTTCCAGATAGCCTTTCAATGTACACGATAAAATAACTAGTATAAAAATATGAATCAATGAAGTATCACAAATTTAGTCTTACTTGACAAAAAATGTATATTTGTAAATGTATGTACATAAGTATCTATGCATGAAACTGATCGCAGCCCAATAAAACATCTTTTTCTTTATCCTGATTCCAGTACACCAACATATTTTATGTTCAACATTTAAGCACGTTTGAAGTATTTTTGAGGCACAGAGCTTTCTAGTAACTCACTGGTACAAGGGGCTGAGTCCGTGACGACTGTAATAGGTATCTGGTAACTGTGATTGACGCGAAGGTCACGCGATGCCACAGGATATGTGCTCTTAATAAAAATGCATCCTATGTAAGTTGCCGCGCAGTATAACAAGCTATACTTACTGGTCGATAAGTAGACTGCATAAACATTGTAATTTTCAAAAAAAGTTGTTACATAGAAATGGATAAAATATATTTTTACAAGATGTTTAAAGTGTATGTATTATACATTTTACAATTGTACAGAGAATTCGAAAAATATAGTAACTGTAATTTGTGCGTTAGGCTTTCGGCGTTCTCCTTATATTGTTATATCAGTCAGTGTTGCCAGGACCTGATAAGCAAAAGTAACACATGACTATAAAAACGAACATTTTGGAGTCAAACGTAACGTCACGAATGGGCCGGGCTTTATGATTTGCAAGACAAAAGAGCCAAGATCGTAGACAAAATCACTTATCATAAATTATGATAAACGAAATTTGGCATTAACTAAATGGAAAATATTTGCCTAGTATTTTTTTTTAATTCAAAAGTGACGCAAAAGTAACGTTTTAAGTTGAGAGAGGGTAAGGTTTCGCAAAATGTTACAAAAGTAACGATCTGGCAATGTTACGATGATATCAGTAATTATCACTATGTAAAATGGAACTCCGAATCAGTATATTTTCAAATAAAATTATAAAGACCATTCTAATATTTAAAGTAAAACATTTTTTTTCAATCTTATTTATTTAGAGGATTTATTGAATGTTACAAATGAACAGTCAACCGTGCCATTTGTATTTTATAACATCAATAAAGACCACAGTATATTTTTACAACCAAAGCGGGTAATTCAAACTGAAAATCGAAATACAAAACAAAAGACAGCACAATTGATTTCCATAAAAAAGCAATAAAAAAAATACAACAGCGGAATTAATAGCCCGTGACAGAATCATTAGTATCCTCGTGCGACCTATTTTATATCTTCATTTCATATACTATCCGCCTAAAAACAGCGAAATAGCCGAAGTACTTAACAACGAAGACGAAGGACTAATGGATTTTTAAATAGGCAGGCACACAATATCGCGACATTTTATTTCACGCATCGCATTCGGCATACAATTAACTGAGAGATAAATTAACGAAAATCTCCTTTGTATACGTACAACACACTAGCAAAAAATTTTATGAAGCTTCACTGAAATCCGATTAACAAACTCACTTTTCATTTGGCTGCGAAGTGCGAGGCTCATTAACATTAAAATCTCGGCGCAGTTTTTCAGAATCGACCCACAGAAAAGGCGGCAGCAGAATTCCGACGCAAAAATAACATTAAACATTACACTTTCCCCGAGAATTGTGCGAGAGGAAGAACTAGAAAATTATCTGAATTTTCTTTTCGTCGGGGAAAAGGGAACTTTTTTTTTCGCTAGAGAAAGTGCGAGGCGAGAGGTAGGTAGCTCGACTTAATTTACGATTACAAGTTACCGGCTGCGAAGTAAGTTGAGCAAATTAGTTTTAAAACAAGCACCGTAAAGCTTGGCTTCGGGGAGGGGGGGGGGGGACCCCACTTGGGCTCTAGAAATTACCATTATTTAGAGTCTACTTCGCGAGTGCCGATGTATTTCTACACCTGACGTTTATTGTATGGACCGTACCTGACATCCGTACGTTGTGGATGGTGCGGATGACAGCTGTCAATTAGATATATCTGTGGCTATATAAACGTTTAAGTCCGTAAAATAAAATGTTGACTATCTTTTAAAGTGGAAAGTAATCTCTATCGGTCAATTATTGTTAAAAAATACCGCTGTCTCTCAAACATAAGTTTGACAGATTTATGTCATGGTGGTGATTTTAATAATAATTACAACACGTCAAAAAGTAGACATTATGTTGCAATACTGCGTCTTCGTTTACAACCAACAGGATTGTATAACTTAATATTCCTGAAGTATCCCCAGTATATTTTGGCTAACTGGGATTCTCAAGATTATCAGTATTATAGATTCGCCTTTAATAGCCCTTATGACTCTAATTAACCTTTTCAAAATCGGGGGCGCACATTAACATGCTTGACTATGACATTAGGCTGAATTGCATACCCTTAAAATGTATATTTTTTTTAATTATATATTTTTTTCATTATCGCCCGAAAATAAGTAGTTAAGTGACATAGGTAATTAAGTTAAGTTATACATATAACTTATCAAGTTATGTCTTATTCCTTGAACCGTACTTGTAACGTACTAAGACCTATTTCACAGCTGTCATCCACAGCGTGCTAAAATGCTCGGACTATATTAATAAAATAAAAAAAATGGTTGCCTGTAAAGTCGGTTTTACGGGCGAAGATTTTACGTGACAACGTCTTTTTCTCGGTAGAATATTTATTGATATGAATATAATTAAATTGCACAATAGGAACAAGGAATTGAATGAAAATAAGAATTGCACAAATTTTAACTATAGAAATATATTTTGTTTACTAAAACATTGTACATGTAAACTTAAACTTAACACGAGAGACTCATCGTAACGTTACCGAGCGTTACACTTTTTCATAAGTGACTCCCAGCCGCAACCTAATTTAAGACGTTGTCACGTCAAAAATCGCGAAAACAGTTTTACAAAAACTTTGTTTGAAAAAAGCATTAAACATTTCTTTTTTGCCGGTACCAAACCATATCTGATCTAATATCGGCGATACGCACAATAACACCTTTTAAAAATCAACATACTTCTTCAGCTGTTCTCGTGTACCCGTCTATTATATGTACACCCGAACTGTTTTTTTTTATTGGTACGATTATTTATATTGTAAGTTCATATGTCGCCCACATTATCTGCGCACGAGCCGAGCAGCAGCTGCGCAAGCGCGTTGCGCTCCAATCCACGCAAGCTACGCGACGACGCCTAGGATTTATCGTCCAATCTGCCTTTTGTTAAGCAAAGGTGTTCTTGGAAATATTGATTGATAACTTTTTTAAATATCGAAAAAAAAACAAAATCAAATCCTCATTCAAACTAAAAAGATTTTTTTAACTTATTTCAACGGCTTTTAATTAGACCATGACAGACAGTTTATAATGTAATCTTGATCTTTTTTATGTGAAATTTCAGAAATTAAATGATGAGTCAGCGTAATTCATTCGTATTTTCCACGAAAATACAAAAGTGCGCTTAATAAGTCGAAAAGTTTATTGCTTGCATGTCTTGCACACATTTTTCTTAGCAATTTCAGCTAAATTACGGCCGGAATTTTAATAAAGAGCTCGGATATAGCGTCTGCTCCTTATTTTATATAGCATTCATGAAATAGTTGTATTCTATATAATAAAACTTTTTAAGTAGATATTGATTTTAGAAAATTGCAGAAAGTGATACTTAGTTACTGTATATTATCTTGTTGCCTTTTTAAGTAGCCTTTTTACGCAAATTGATCAACTTGGAATTTGCTATGCTACTTTAACTTTTAGTAACTTTAAACTTCGTGTTTAGCTTTGAAGCTTCAGTTTTGCTAATTTGTAATTTTATGCAAGTAATTGAAGGACAAAATATATTTCTATTAATCATTCTAATTGATCACTTAAGCCAAATTTTTCTCCGGAGTGGTGTATATGTACAGGTACACCTGGTTACAAGGTGTAGCCTACTCAAAGGTTTTGACTTCGAATCCTGGTGCGGCAAATATTTGTATGATGAATACGAGTATTAGATAGAGACTTATTTGTTTATAGTTAGTGTATTTTATAGTTTTATGATGTGAAATTGTTTTTAGTATTAATTATTAATTTTACT